TTTGATTTGACATTTACATTAAATTAAAAAAGCGATTGAAACCCGTAGGAGTGTTGTGTGCGTATGCAGCTTTACTTTAGTTGCTTTCAAGGCAGTTTAAGTGAAACTTTTAAACATCTGATGAAACAGTTTGAGTCGCTGGTCGTTTTCTGGTCAACATGTAAATATTCTAAAACTGACAGAGGAGAAGTCCTTTTTACGTCAGCTGTCAATATGTGTTTGCTTAAATGTTTCGTCAGTGCATTTTCGGTCTCTTTATGTTTATGGCGATTAGTATTTGAATTTAGCTTCATTTAACTGCTTTGCTCAGGTACTGGGGAGCTTTTAAAGAACATTTCTGGGGTTGAATCGGATAGTTTGAGAGACAGGAAGTCTGGAGAAAGAAAGAGAGAGCAGGTGAATGACATGCAGTGAAGGTTCGCACCGACTGGGAACTGAACCGGGGATTCGCTGCTCGAGGGCGTTTGCACTCGTGACATCGCGCCAAGCACTCGGCTATTGCGTCACCTCAGCGACAGGGGACGCCTCAGCTCGTCACATACCTGGCAGCACGACAAATCTAACAGAACCCCTTTGAAGAATATGCAGGTCCTTACCACGAAGGTGAAGGGCCTCGGCGACAGCGCTCTGTAGTCGTTGACGCAGTCTCTCACGCACACCTCCACCTGAGCCTCCTGGACTCTGTAGCCGGTGGCGTCGTTCAGCAGGCACACGATCCTGTAGACGGAGAAATGACGCTCCTTGATGCACATATTCATAGTTTGAAATATGACAAAACAAGGGCGTGAACGGGCCACGAACCACAGAATAACATCCACCGTTAGGACGAACACTGCAGCACCTGTATGCTTTAGACGCAGCAGGAAGCGGCGGACGGTCAGTTTGCACACTGCACCAAAAAAACATCTCGCACAATAGATCTCAATCTAAAAAAAAAAAGTGGCAAAAGGAAAGAACAAAGAAAGGGAGGAATGCGACCGGGAAATGGTGCAGGGGGTGTCAGGAATAATGTGCAGAATAACTGATGTGTGTGTAATATTTGAATAGAGATGCCCTCTATCTCAACATGCATCATTTCCCAACTAACTGCACTACAGAGAGATTGTTTGATCTGCGTGAACTCAATTCCTCAGCCGTGTAGGACCCTGCAGAGGAGTAAATGTCAGGATGGAGGGATGAGAAAAAATAAAGGAAAGAGCATATGTAGGGAGTAATGGAGGGGAACGGCAGATGGAATTTGCAGGGAAAAAAAAAAGAAAAAGAAAGAGAACCTGATGTCACTATCTTTTCAGCTGCTGAATGAGGTTGCACCTACACAGAAACGTTTTTTTTCCCCTCCTCCTCCTCGCGTTTGATTGGTCGGGATGAGAGAGGTGCTGTCTCTGTGGATGTGTTTTTTTTATTTTTTTATATCTGTCTGCAAATGCATCCATCTGTGTTTTCTGGGCTTTGTGAGCACAGATATGTCTCTGTGCCTTTTTTTCCTTCACCCACCTCTCAGCGCTCACGTACTCCTCCTCCAGAGGCACACAGGGCACCTTCCCCAACCGGACGCCCATCTGGATGTCTCTGAACTGCAGACCCAGGTTCTCCCCCAGGATGGTCACCCTGGTTCCGCCCTGACGAGGCCCCGTCTCGGGGAACAACTGGACCCGACGAGAGGACGAAGGAACAGGCGGCAGAAAGGGGGAAAAAAGAAGTTATTTACACTGTGTATTGCATAAATAAACACATACAATCACATTAAGGTCACAAAATGAATCCATTATTTGGTGTCGTGACCTCATTCGAGCAGTCTGAAGTCCTCGACACTGTTGCACACAAACACTCCATTCAGAATCGCCCGTATCTGTTGATTCAAGTTTTTTAATGAAGAGAAATCACCTCCGAGACAAAGAGAGGGCAAAAAAAAGAACCAAAAGCGGCGTCGTCTCCGTTTAATTGAAACTTATTACGCGGCTTGGCTTCATTGACGGGGGGGGGCCGCGGCGGCGGCGGCGCGACGCTCAGCCGCGTCGACGGCCCGTAATGTGATTTATCTAGCCAGATTATGGTGCGTAACGGGGACAGGTGTGGTGTGACAAAACAAATATGGTGACTGATGGACGGCGGTTGTCACAAACGCACACACTGCTAGCGAGGACACGCACACACACCAGCCTAATCCCTAACAAGCATCATGAGGTAATTATGTGTAATCTGTCCATTGCCCTGTTCTCCTGCAGTGCTTGGCTGAGCAGACAGAGCAGGAAAAAAAAAAAGAAAAGCAACATTATGGAGGCATAGTGTTGTTGTTATTATTATTATAGCACAGACAGCACCGAACAACAGACCTTGACGAATGGAGATTTCAGCAGCGTGGACTAGTTTTGGGGGATGAACCAGTTTGTCTTCCTCGACTCATGAGATGAGAAAGTTTCACACAGCATGAGATCCAAAGTTTTTACACCTCGCCTTAGAAAAGTGCGATTGTCAACGAGCAGCACAATTGGATGCCTTGCTCAAGGGAAGCACCACAGTTAAAGGAAGAAGACTTTCTATGAGGGGTCGTAAAGGCCATAACTCATTCTCACACTCACACATGCACACATTTTAACTCTTACTTACATATATTCTCCTCACACACATACATATTTGGACTCTTACACACATGCATTTTCCTCATAAACACATACATTCTCCTCACATACCATAATATGAGGGGCCGTATAGGACAAAATGCATGTTTACCTCTTACCTACTCTTCTGAAATCATGCATAAACGACCATAATCACCTGCACATACACATAAAATCAACTCTCACATAAACACACGAGCAACATCTCACATACAAACTAGTGAAAGAGGCACATGCATGCTACTAAAAGCCCACACATACACACACACAAATCAACTTATATGCACTTAAATGAGTGAAAACATTGATGTATGTGAGAGGTTGTGTATGTGCATGCTGACACTAGTTAGAATGAGAACTCCGATGTATGTGTGTGAGAGGTAATAATGTGCCGGAAGAGGCGGTGCTACAACCCGGAGTGCCGACAGCAGCATGCGTGGATCAGGCTGGACGTAATTGACTAGTACTGCTCGCGCCCGTTGATGTTAAAATACTATTTATTAGAATTGCTGCCGCTTGACTAATTCTTTCATTGTTTACATTGTCAGCCATCTTCTTTCTTGTTCATGGTTCATAGTAAACTGCCTGATCCATGTAACTCATAATGTTGAGTTAAAAGTAAAACGAGTATTTATTTATTCATTTTTTCTTGTGTTAATATAATCTTGTACCAAAGCAAGTCTTGTAATGTGACAGTTGAGGGCAGCGCTGAGCTGAAAGGTCAGGTGACTGATAATCAGCAGTGTGGAGGACCTACAGAAACGCTATTGGTATGACTGTTTAGCAATTTAAGATTCAATTTTGATTTAACTCCTGGTTTTAATTTGATAATAGTGATGCTATGTGGCGGAAGAAATGTTATTGCATTTAAGTTGTTTATTTTCTTTGAACTGTTTAAACCAATAACTGGTGTTATGTTGTGTGTTTAAAGGTTATCAACCTGCTGCTGCTACGACTGCTTTTGTGCTACTATGTATGTTGTGTCATACTAATGCAAATATTAAAGCAAAGCAAAGAAGAGCTGAGTTGCCCCAATCGTCATCTGTGACTACCTCCAAGCCTTTTTCAAGTTTAGGCAGAGCTGATGTCAGAACCCAAATAATTTGACTCATAACTTTCTCCACCTGAAGTTAACCCAAAGGTTTGTACATACGACTGCCTGTACTCGCAACTTCATCGTGCATAACGTTACTCACACACATTCAATTAGTCGCACATTAAAAGAGAAGCTTAGCATTGAGAAGAGTAAATAAATGAAAAGGCTCAAATGCAAGTAATTAAATCGAAAATTTAAACCGAGATGGAAACAATGAAAGAAAATATGTTAGAAAAAAAAAAAGAAGAAAGACCTGAATATAAATTTACAAATTAACAGCTTTGCCTGGAAAGCCGGCAGCAACAAAGTCAGTGAATCATAAAAAATGAACGAGGAAAAGGTTAAAGCCTCGTGTACACCGAAACATACGAGGAGAGTAGAAATTTGAATACTGCAGACTTTGGGAACTCCCAGTGCCAATACCCGAAAAAAATAAATCACCAGAATCACCTCGTGCTTCTACAAACAAAAACTTATGCCATCAGACTCCTTTTAAAATATGTTTTTATCAGGAAATAAATAAATAAAATATACACATATGGATACTTAATCTTCTCAAATTCAGTATAATTACCTAATGATTCTTTTAAATGAACCTGATCCTTATCTTGCCAGTAAGCTACCAAATAATGGAATGACAGATTGCCAGACAAACCACATTTTGGAAGCTATTGCATGTCGGGAGAAAAAAAACAACAAAATACCTTTGGCAGCCTTACGCTATACTACAAAGAGACACATTAATATGCAGGGTTTCTGCCAGTGTATTGTAAGCCCAGCGGCTTGCCAGGCCTAAGCACTGGGGAATTTTTATTGTTTTTTAAAATGTATTTTGTAGGATGATTTTTTAAAAAAAACAGAGTTAGAGTGGGGCGGCTTTGTTGGAAACAGATATAATCAGTGGAACGCTCACCCGCACCATTTGTCGGTTAAACCGGAAAACAGATCCTCTGCCTTCGTTGTACGTAGAGTGAGGTTCAACCCTTGACACGTCCAAACATGAGAAGTTGGTATCATTCAGTAATCTTAGCTGGAGAGGCTAACACAGACCTTTAGCAGTCGCGTTTGTATCTATTCAAACTTGGGGTGGGACTTTAACGTGTTAATTAACACATAAATAACACGTTGAAGTCCCACCCCTAATATACTTTAAAGAATTAATTACGATAAATTAATTACAACAACAATAACGCGTTAAAAAAAAAATAATGCACGGAACGTTTGTCAGTGCATAACTTCATGGTCCACCGATCACACTGATGCACAAGATGCGTCAGCGCTACGCTAACAACAACAACCACGGAAGAATCCGATGAAAGTGCTTGATGATGGAGGGAAAGTTTCATTTTAACAAACTGCCTGATGGAAGCTTTGACAAGAGCGTGGTTTTGTGCAACTTTTGCAAAAAAGAATTTGCATCCCACCGAAGCACATTAAGCTGACGGTACCACCTGAATGCAAAGCAGCGAGCACAGAAACCGCCGGAGCTGTTAGCACTAGCTGGATAGCGATTAATTATTATTTTTTTTAAGTTATTTTTTTGGCCTTTGTGTCTATATTTGATAGATCAGTGACAGAGAGACAGGAAAGTGGGGGGAGAAGAGTAGGGGGAGGACATGTGGGAACGGGTCATGAGCGGGATTCGAACCCATGACCTCCACATCGGGACTGTAGCCCTGTACATGGGATGCCAGCTCAACCAGGTGGGCTATAGCGGCGCCCCAGCGACAAATTTTTTTTAACACAGTATTTTTGTTGTACGTAATTAATCGTAATTAACACGTTAAAGTCCCACCCCTAATTTAAACCAATCACAGTTGTTTTGGGTGCTGCCAAGCCCAGGATGTAGCAACGGTGCCCCTGCAAAATTTGCAGACGTTATCATAGCATCCAAAGAATTCGATTCCGAGGATTTGGAGATGCAGATAACAGAAGAACAGAGACGGTTGCGTGAAATTGCAGGTCTGAACCAGACGTCTACATCCACAGAGTCAGACTACTTCATTTGGGACATTAGGGGTAATGTCAGGCAGGAAAAGCCAATTTCAGAAGGCCAAATACTGGATGTGATGTGGATGAAGAAGCGACGGTCAGCATCGTTAGGCAAACCTCAGGTGGCCAACGAGCACCCTGTCCTTGGTAGGTTACCACAGAAATGACAGAACCCTGCTTTGCTGCTGTTGCTAAACCATGCCTGGTTCCCATCCAAATGTATTGGCCATTGGAAATACTGGGACAACCCCTCTCTGCCCACAACAGACCAGTAACAGCGACTAACACTCACACGCCGTCACCAGTAACCACAGCACTAAAGGCAGCAAACAGCTATTATGTGTTGAAGAAAAATAATCATAAAACCAAATTAATTCACCTGAATGGCAACGGGTTGTATTTGGGGGTTTGAAAGCTGACACTCTGCCAGAGACACTAATCTGTAAAACAACACAGTAACTGGAGTAAGTTGAATTAAAATACAAAGAGAGAGGCAGTAAGAGAGAGAGAGACAGAGCGGTCTGGACTCTCTCTCTTCCTACTATTTGGAAGCTGACTCACGTTGGAACCTCAGGCGCCAGCAGAGCCTCAGCACTTTGGTTCCACAAACACAATAGCTGGTAAACACTGACCAGAGCGAGTAGCCATCAAGCTCTAGGGTACGATATGGACAACAGATGTCAGGGTGTGGAAATGGGCCTTCAGATGGTTTTGGAAGAATGACGCTATGATACCACAAAACACAATATCAGCTAGCCACCAAGCCCTGGGATATAAACACTGGCAGAGCCACAGACAGAGAGGCAACAGAGAAAGAAAGAAGAGTGCTGTTAAAGGGATTACTGTCATTATCTGAGGGGGGCATTTAGAAAGGGGCCAGGGACGGCTATGGGAATATATATACTATCACACCATAAGCACGCATACTGTAATAGGCACC